CAAATTTTTCTTTGATATGGCCGGGAATAGTCTACTTGTATGCATAAGGCGTAGGTACTGATAAGCAATCAACAAGATGTTACACACTCAAAGTTGCTGCGAAATGAAATAGTTTGATGCCCAAGGAAACAAGGGGTAGAATCTTATGGCGTATGAGCTATTCTAATTCAGTCGACCTCAAGCGATAGAAGAAGGCATTAGATGGGCTAAGTGGCTGATTGACTTTAGGAACACATGCCAGAGGTCAGTACTGGTTTACGATATGGTATCTCAAAGGCGAAGAGGAATCAGATATCCACAAAACATGGCTCTTTCGATGCCTACTGTTCTAGTACCTATCTACTAGCTATTGTTGTGCGTCCTAATCATCTTGGGAATCATTTAAAGATAAAATAAAATAAAATAAAAAGGCACATTTTTTATGCCTCTTCAATTTTCCCCCTTCCAGCTAGAAGTGAAGCAGAATAGCCACTCATTATACCACCACGGGTTTTCATTCTCCTATAGCGTGTAAACACAAAACGCCTCGCAAAATCGGCCCACAGAATGATACAGCTCCCCAACTCCAGATACTCGAACGATGGTAATAAGTTCGAAGAAGAAAAGGATAATAATATATAGACTCAACCATCAGTAACCCAGATTCAGGGTTCATCGTCCTTCGAGAGCGGCAAGTTGAGCGGCAAGCTCTCTATTTCCCACCAATATTTCTTCTAGCCACTCTGCTGTCATTGTAAGCATGGTACTTTTGCTAAAGCCGCCTCCTTTTAGTCCGGGAACAAGGTCGCACAGATCGTCGAAGCCTTCCTTTATCAGAGTTCGACGCTTCTGCTCGCTGCGAATGTGGTTTTCCCGTTTTTGCTCTTCCGACAAGTTTTCTCTTGCCGCCTTGGCTGCGTTCGCATTTGATTTTCGCCGCTTGCCTCCAATGCCAGCGTCGAGGAGAGGTGATGAGACAGATCCATTTCGTTCTCCCTTTGCTTTTCTTCGCTTTGCTGTAGCAGACTTTGTGCCGTTGGTACTTTCATTTTCATCGTCGTCTCCAGTATCCTTCTTGATTTTGCTCTTTCGTCTCTTACGAGGCGGTGCACCGTCCTCCCCCGGTTTTTCTCTTGTCTCTGATGTATCTCGATTTATGCTTTGCGCAAACGCAGACTGAGTATTTGCCGGACTGCTCGGACGTGTTGTCGCAGCGCTCTGGCTAGGTTCCAGGCATTCGAGACACTTGAGTTGCTCCTGTTGCATCGTCTCAACCGTCTCTTTGTTCGCTTCGGGTGTGTAGCCTTGTCCAAGATTAAAGTTGGAATCTGAGCCCCATTGGTAATCTACAGAAATCGGACGAGAGGTAGAATTTTGGCGCCCCTTTGAACCCCACATCCATTCTGTAAAAGTATTATCAACTTCGGTTTGCACCATGCCTCTCCGGCTCTCTTCTCTGAACTCTTCTAGAGGTTGGTGGCGGAGGTGGCCGACCGGAGGACCAAGAGATCGCCGTGAAGCAGGTGTGTCGTTGGGTTTGTGTGCCCCGCGTAACCCGGATCCGTTTTGCATCAGCGTGGCAGCGGCATTCAAGACGTCGTCGGAGGGATGTTGTTGGTAAGAAGCGGCTTGAGAGGGATGAGGATGGGAGTGAGCATGAGGATGAAGATGCGACGGCGGCGGTGGCGGCGGCGGCGGCATTAGGTGTGATCCAGCCGTGGATCCATGCAAGTTATGCGAGTCTATCGAGTAGTCTAAATGCGATTCGTGGCCGAGAGGCGTCGTCGGCTGAGAGCCATATGAAGTTGCTGTCCCCATCAGCTGGGGAGGCAGGTCGAACAGGGCATGGTAATTCAGGCCTTCGCCGAAGGAAGGCATATTGTATTGATTCGCGGTCATGTCGTCGAAAAAGTCGTTGAGGAACTTGCTATCGGTTTCGCTAAGCAAGGGGGCCCCAGGCGCAGGTTCGGGGGCATCGAAGATTGGCTCTTGGGTGCCATCGACAGAATCTATAAGGGCTGGGGTCAGGTCTGGAAAACGACATATAATATATACGGGGGGGGCATCTTACATCCGAAGGGCATTTGGAAGGGATCAGAATCGGGCTGCGACGAACCCATCCTGCTGGGAGGCTGCCGCACGGCGAGCATGGGTGCGCCTTGGGAGGATGGTCGAGATGGTGCGGCCGAGGCGAGCCCGTGATGGTTTGCGAAAGGCGGCTGTAAGAATAGGCGTTGCAGCTCTGTCCGGGCCTCAGCAACTATGGACACTGGTGGCGGTAGGGCGCATGCGATCTTAGTTCCAGAAGCACATGAAAGAAGCTGGGGACAGAAATCCGGGGTAATGGAAGAGGAAAACGGGGGGGTCGAGGTTTAAACGCTGAAGCAGAGCATGAGGTGAGGCCGAGTTACGAGTGGAGCCGTGGTTTGTCCAGCAGGGTCACGGTTTCGGTGCTTTTTGGTGGAAGCGCAGCGCCGCTAAGAGGATTAACAGTGGGGAGAGGGGGGAGTGTTTGTGTGTCTGGGCGAGACTAATGCGGCATCGAAGAGGGAAAGAAGACGATTATGAGATTATAAGAAGAAACGCTGCAGCTGGCGCATGGCACGAGAGCAGGTTGCGGCGTCAGTCGCTCCACCACCAGGCGACCCCACGAGGACATGAATTAGTTACCTTTTGTATGAGAGCTGTGCTCAGCTGCCCTGCGGCAATGTCATGTCATGTACAGGTAAGCAGGCAAAAGCAAGCACTCAATACAGCTGCCGCAGCGTGGTACTTGATAGCGGAGTCCTCGGGACGCGGGCGCGAGCTGCCAATTGGATAGCAGCTGTGGCTTTAAATTGGAGCTCGAATTCAAATAACCTACAGCACCGAACCGAGTACGGTGGCCTTTTTGGCGTTACAAAGTCGTATTGTTCAATAGTCGAGCTGCTCCACGCACGTTCATGCAACACCGGCGGCGCAGGTGGGTGTCAATCAATACGGTTAACGCTTTCGGGCTTGTGCGTCGTCGATGGCAGCAAGGAATTTCGGTATTGTCCCGTACGACGCCGTCATTAGAGATCCCGTCAATACAATACAGCCAGGGAAAAAAAAAACTTCAGCCATCCCTGTCCCGTCAAGGCCCGCTTCAAGTCACCTGGTGGGTTTTCAGAAGGGGTATGGAGTGGCTCTAGCGCAGCTGTGCGGCCTGCAGCTCTCTGTTCCATGCCCACTGAGGTCGCAATCTGCTATCGAAATACCGGCCAAGCACGTGTACCGCTGTATCGAGGCCTGGCGGGCGTGGAGGTGCGGTAGTACCGGATGTGCTGCCCTCCTCTCTGATTTGCAGATTCCGCTGGTAATCGGTACAGTCCGACGATGGAGCCAGCCGTGGTCGATAGTGGCAGCTTTTAGCGGTATCCTTCAAAGCGAGCATCACATGCCATTTGTTCCAGCTGCATTCTCGGCACCCCTCGACACCAAGACCAAGCAATCGAAGATGATGAAGAGAATAGGACCAGATGACGGAACACCGAGATGCATCTGCGAGCTAACGTGGAAATACTCCGTACGGAGCACCGGAGAGATGCACGTACCCCTCCACGGCACCAGGGCTAAGGTGCCTTGGATGCTTCCTCTTAACCTGCTTAAATTGCATATTGGCCGTAGAAAATCCTGTCTCACCTGGAGTAGGTAGCAGTGTAATTATTTCAGCATCGGCGGTCGTTGATGATGCATTTGAAAGAACAGTGGCTCTCGACGCCCTGAGCCATCTTCCATTCGTCGACGCTGCAACATTAGAAAGGGGTCCCCCACGCCCATGCCGCTCAATGATCACCATTATGCCGAAAACATGGTTACACCATCGAGTTCTATCAACTATCAATTTCCCTTTTCGATGGGGCGTTGTTTTCCATTTACTCTTTGCAGGATTGCCAGCCCGGAGCACTTGGCCGCATCTGTCTGTCGCTCGGCCGAGACCGCGAAATAGTTCTAGCCATCACTGCCACATCCCAGGTTATGCGTGCCTCGTATCCCCCTGTTGTTCGATCTAGAAGAGAAAAAACAGAAGTTCCTAGCCCACCGTTGTCTGTGCTGGGCGTTCGGTGGAGCTCGGGTTCGTGCCATGGTCGGCTTGTGGGAGGTTTAGTTCTCAACTGCCACCACTCTCTTCAGAGCTGGCTCTGGCTGAATGAGGCGTTGCATGCCCCCTTGATTATCCTGGAGTAGTGCTACCGTTGCCGCTACTAGCACTATCCTTGTGCGTTGTATCTACAGAGTAGCAGTATAGTTGGTAATGGCATTATCAATTAGAAGAAGTCATGAATTAATACAGTAGTATTTAGGGAGTGCCTATTTGAAAGGCGTACGCAAAGAGCCGCAACGCATCCGGAAGCTGTTGGATCTACTGCCGAGGCCCCGGATATGATTTACACACTAGGAGACTACCCTATCCTAGCCCATCTCATGGATCAACTGCTTAAAAAAAGTTCCCTTTTATCTAAGGCGCTCAACGCTCAAGTCCAAACCAAAGTAGTCCCGCCAATTAACAGATCCTGTGCTATTCTCAAGCCTCTTTTCATGCTGGCCCTGAAGAGGGACCCACGAAGGGGCAATTGGCTGTTGTTCTTTCAGGCCTGACTGCGTCTTCCCCCTTTAAGGTTCCTCACCCCTAACGCCACAGCGCTGTGGTACGCAGCTACGCAGCTACGCATCGTACTGACCGACATCATCGCGCAGAAAAGCAGCGGTCGCGTCACACTATCGCCGAAAAGCCGCGGCATCTGTTGCTTATGGGCTGCCAGCGAATACTTGCAGGCATCCCCCGAGATACCCAAAGCGAGCGGCGCGTTACATCTTTTATTGCTCTTGGTTTCTTTTCCATCTTGAACTTTGCTGGGCGCTGCTCTGGGGACTGCCTGCAGTCGCAGCTGAACTCTATTCTATCAAATCTTTGCTCTTCAGCCAACCCATTGTCATCCGCCGGCATCATAGCGTTGCTCTCTTAAACCTTCCAATTCAGTCCGACCATTGACCTTGAGATGCAACCCTCTGTGGCAGCCCTGCGAGCCGTCCAGCCTAAAGGGCCGCTGAGCTTCCAGTCCCTGCCCGCACCGCTGCGGCCATTGGTCCGGGCCTATCTCCTGGGCTATGCCTCTGCCGTGGCGCCTCGCCTGTTGACGCTGATCCTCCAGTTCATCTCCAAGAGGCGCAAGAGCGCGAGGAAATATCTGTCCGCCGACAAGGATGAGCGGTCCTTTAAGGATTCTGCGCTTCGAATCTTACGCACCGGCCTGGATCCGCGACGGTTTCCTACCTTTTGTGCTGCGTTAGTGGGGGGTTCTACATTATTACAGGTAAGATGATGATGATGGAAACTTCGAGTGAGACGCTCGGCGGCTTGAGATGAGACACGGCTGGCAGGCTGAGCTTCCTGAATGAGCTTCCATCTGCCCGTATGATGGCAGAATATGGCCGTGTAGTTCCATGTTGGTAATAGCCTCGACTCAGTTGTGGCCCGTTTCAGCTAGCACGCTCTTCAATAGCGGCTTCAGTTGTGACGGACAATGCGCTGACGATTATTTGTAATATTGATATAGGAACCTCTGCTCAAGATCATCAGCCGTGTTGCCACCCAGCTTGGTACGGCGTCACAACTCAGGTAAGTCTCCGGATATAGATTGCACGACCAGGCCTTGTCCTATTGTGCAACGTCTTGACACCCAAATAAAGAACGAATGACTTTATATTGGCCGAAAGCTGACGGGATGGTTTGACAGACTAGCACGATGGCTGTCTACTTTCATATCGGGATGGCTCAGCCTCCAGCTTCTACAGTCTAAGCGGACTCACCCTTCATTGACAGAAGCGGGTTTGGCATCGGTCCAGCAAGGTCTGGCCGAAGCTGTGCCCAACGGTTATGGCGGTCGGACGCTTGACCTCACTCTCTTTGCTGTCACTCGCGCTGCCGATGTCCTCGTTGGCGAGCTGTGGTCTCAGCACCGCGGCCGCCGCAAGGCTACGGAAAAGTGGACGGTGGTTAGTTGCCTCTCTTCACTGTGCTCCTTTCTCGAGCTAATTGCCTAGATTGAGCAAATCATCTCCCGTCTGACAGACCCGGCCGTGTTTGCTGCCTCGTCGGGCCTCATCATGTGGGCGTGGTTCTACTCACCAGACAGCCTTCCTCGCAGCTACAACAAGTGGATCACGTCTGCCGCCTCTGTCGACCTACGACTTATCGAAGCTCTACGGCGGTGCAGAAACGGGGAGCTCATCTACGGCAAGGAGACTGGCCAGGCGCCGCTCCTGACATCCATGTGCGAAGACTACGGCCTGCCAACAGAATGGGGTGACCCCGTTACAAAAATCCCCTTTCCCTGCGACCTCGTCCATATGGGGTGTGGCCCATCATGTGAATATCATGCTATAAGCCGCTTCCTTCGTTCTTGGAAGTGGTCGATGCTCACCTACCTGCCCCTTGCCCTGGCCCTTCAGCTGCGGAATCCCAAGCGGATCGATCTGATGAAGGCCATCACCGGCTCTACCCGATCATCCACTTTTCTTGCTACCTTCATCACCCTCTTTTACTACGGCGTGTGCCTAGGCCGCACTCGCCTCGGCCCCCGCATCCTCGGCAAGGATATAGCTTCCCGCCAGTGGATCGATGGAGGGCTCTGCGTCGGCACCGGATGCTACCTTTGCGGCTGGAGCGTCTTCATCGAGACTGCGGGCAGGAGGAAAGACATGGCCTTGTTCGTGGCGCCAAGGGCGTTGGCGACGCTGGTCCCGCGTCGATACCCCCTAGAGAAGCAGTGGCGGGAGAAGTTGATATTCGCGGCGAGCACGGCAGTTGTATTTACATGTGCTCTCGAGAATCCGAAACGAGTTAGAGGCGTAATGGGAGGGTTGTTGAGCATGGTATTAAGGAAATAAAAAAAAAAATAGAGGACACAGGAGCCTATGGGTTTTATCATACCGGGACACTGAGATGTGCTTACGATTTTCTTTTCTCCTTTTGTTCTTTTCTTTTCAGCATCTCTTTTGGTATATTCACATTTAGATAAGATGCACAAGCAAATTGTTTGCTGAGGGTTGTGTGGATGATATTAATTTTCTATTTTTGTATTATAATCAGAAATAACAACCCAAAACTTCCTTCATGCTCATGATCCGTTTCCCGTAAACGATGCTTCATTAAAACAGACAACTACTGAGCTACTTCATCCAAGCCACCAAGAGACAGCTCCAAGCACAAAAATGCAAGTCAGAATATCCGTCCTCACAGTCGTAAAGATCTGGATGTAACGCTGCCCAATCTCAATGTACCCCCGATACGGCTGCGGCACGTACGAAATAGCCGTCGCAAGAAACCCCGTAGCATTGGTACTCTTCTTGTCGAGGAACAGCCTCGTCGACAACAGCAACACTTCAGCAGTAGCAAACGTCCAAAAGAACAAGTTCTTGCGCCTTTCCATCTCGTCATCCACTTCCTGTTCATGCGCCAGGGCCATGCGCTCGCGCTCAACCTTGCTGCCGGTGAAATGAGTCGTCAGGAGGAAGAATAGACCCATGCCGATGGCGACCAGGGCGTGGACGACACGCCAGAGAGTCACGGAGGAAGACTTGGGCAGCTCGACGGCGGCCTGCTGCTGTGGCATTTGCATGTTGCCAAAGGGGTTGGAAGCTCCATCGGCGCCGCCAAAGCCTGGGATCGAGCCCGAGGACATCATTTGCGACATCATCTTCATAATGGGGTCGTCTTCCATGCCCGGAGGCAGGTTCATACCGGCCAGATTGCTGCCAGGAGGACCGGCCTGTTCGGGGCGATCGAGGCCGAGCATCATCTGGCGCAGCTGTGCCTCAGATAGCGACGGCTCGGGGCTGGGAGAGAAGACACCATCGATGGGTTTGCGGGACGTCTTCTTTGGGGCGAAGAAGTGCTCCGAGATGTCTACTTCGGCGGGATCGTGGTGTTCGGTAGCTGCTGGTGCGGTTGAGGAGGCTTCTGGAGCAGATGGGGTTGTAGTCCCTGAGTCTTTCACGATGAATCACGTACATCAGCACAAAGTCCGAAAAAAGAGGAGAGGCCAAAAAAACAGCATTCAACAAGATACACACCTCCAGTAACACGACCGCCTGCACCGGTGATTCTCTCCAATCTCGCGGATCCTCCAGCCTTGATTTTTGCTTCTCTGCGCTCCTTGCGTAGCCGCGCTTGCTCCGCAGCTCGCTGGGCGGCAGCGTCCGCATCGTTGGTGGTAGCAGTGTCTGCCATATTTCAAGTGCGCGGAAGCTTCAGTCGAGCTGTGATGTATATTCGGTATCCGGCTCGCGCAAACAAAAAAGTCGGAATGGCAAAAGAAGGTGGCCTCAGAAAAGGTGGACGGCAAATGACAGCACACACGAGACCCCACGTAATGGACATGCATGCACATGATGGTCTGGATTGGACCTATAGAGGGGCGCGGCTTTGGTGGACACTGCATGTAGGTATTGTTAGCGTGCTAGCTTGGACTTAGACGCCGCCGCATATCTGTATTCTGACTCCCTACACTACCTTGTATGGATCGCGATATTGGGGCTACCTCCGCTGTGATTCTGCCAGGCTGCGCCCACCAGTCGCGCAAGGTCTAGTAAAATCCATATGCACAAATAGCAGATAAGGCGGTCTTGAGGAAAGCGCCCTTTGTGAGGGCCCTGGGCCCATATTCGAGAATTGGCGCTGTTCCTATCTGGCGATCCAAGAAATTGCTTCAAGGCTGCTGCGAGATCCGGATCTGCTTCTTGCTCCACCTCTGATCCATTCGATCCTAGCCATTCTTCGTATCGGTCAATGTGTTTGTGCCAGTATCGTCTAACATATGTTGCAAATTGGCGACTATCCTCGTTCGGTAGACCGCCATTCAAGAAGCAGAGGCAGATCTTTGAAGCGAATACATCGCACTCCCATAGACTTATACTGCCTCTCTTGTCTAAATACTCAGCCACAGAGGCATGAGGTAACGTCCACACTCCCCTTTCTTCATCAACCGTTAAGAGGTCTTGGCATAGCGATAAGATTTGCTGTTGCGTCTGTTTCTCAATCCGCGCCAACACAGAGCCTTGGATAGCATCCCGAATAGCTTGCAGAAGGACTTCTGTTTTAAGTGGCTCAAAAGCACACAACACTCATATGATAGCTCGCTTAGCAAAGCAACATCAGACTCATCATGCTCTTTGACGATATTCTCCCAAAGCTGATCATATGTGACCATTAAATCGACTAGCAAATTACAAGCCCAGTTATAAATTGCCTTGTCTGTGATACGCCTTTTCAGACTCATCACCTGTAAGTAGACCCATCGGAAGCTGTAACGAGTTTCCAAAGCTGTAACGAGTTTCCAAAGCTGTAACGAGTTTCGAAAGCTGTAACGAGTTTGCACGATAGAACGAGGCAAGCTAAATTGATAAATCAATGCAAAATGCAATGAAACGTTGACTTTAGGAACGACTTACATTCCACGGCTCCGTGTTGCAAATAACCTTCTTGATTTCTTTCTGGATGACTTGACTTCGCTATTGAAAAAAATGGGTACTGTAGAGTTTCTCTGCTAAGAATCTTTCAACATCTTTCTGCTGGTTACTAGCATCCACTGTGATAGTAACCTGATCCGCAAAAGCTTTCAAGTACTCTCGATCAGGTTGGCTAGATATGAAGATCTTGGTGGGGTTTTCGGAATTTTGCATTATCGTGGTGAGAATAGCGCCGTGATTATAATCAGTGATATCATTCTCATCCGAAGCATAACCTATTAAAATGCTAGATAAATCTATTGTCAATTCTTGTGGTGTGTGAAGTTTAGAAATGTGTGCTGATAAATTATTATTCCCTCTTTTGCTTCGCCGCCCTTGGCAGTCCAATTGCATGGCAATCATGAAGTCAGCTCTTGCATTATCATGAGTTAGTTCAAAACCAAGTCGTCCAATTCTTTGGTTTAGAGACATGTGCATCTAGGTCATCTTTCCACACACTACTTTGGAGATGTACCATGTATCGCTCTATTGTCTTACCCATGAATGGCTTGCTGAATAAATCGTATAGAATGTGCAGCTCAGTGCTCTTGTGGCCTGACAACCTGGCGGCCATCTCATAGAAACGCCAAGCGCACACCATAGGAAACAATCCCGAGCCTCCTTGGACTGCCCCAGCTAACGGCTCAAAAAAGAGATGACCACAGTGGACCATTTTGGAAGCATGTGTCTGCGGGATAAATGTTGAATACTCGTCGTGGGGGACTAAACTTGATGGGTCTGTTGCGTCTTTTAAAGATCCATCGGTCAGTGATATTCGGAAGTTCCCTGGTATAGATCTCACAATGCATGAAAGCATCAGACGAATGCACCAGTAGATACAGCTCAAGTGAAGCAGTGAAAACTCGCTATCAGTCTGTGGTTTGGGTAGAGGTAATCCTGCGGTGGCATAATCGTAGATGGAGAGATCAATCTGAGCCCGCCACTTGGCCAAAGCAGCCTTTGCATCCTGACACTGCTGCCAGATCGTGGCTCGAAGTTCGTCCGCCGCATTTTGAGAATCAGATGATGGAAAAGAATCCAACAGGCTGATAATGTATGGAATGCTGTCCATAATATCAAGAAGCTTGTCTTTGGTGGATTTCTCGGTAATGGCCCAGGGGATTGTTTTCCATGCATCGCTGCTGATTGGCGACATAGCCCTCTGTCTTATTGCAATTAAAATCTATAGTTACATAGCATTAGCAAGAGAATAACTGGTTTATGATGCAAGATCTTGAACATCGTGACTCGCAAAATTGATGCGGCTGTCAACAAAAAGCTGATGGGCAGCGCCTGATATAAAAGAGCTAGGCCCTCGTGTAAGGAACATCGCGAGCTGCCCTTGGCTATGTCTCTGCCATCCATCCATCCTTGGATCTCCATCAGGGCCAAAGTGAAGCTAACACGATGTTTTCATCAGAGTGAGCTAATGATTTTGCTCTCACGGGAGAATATACCTCATAGAATGCCATAACCCGAGCAGCGAGAATCAAGCTATCGCTTTTTGCGTGGCTCGGTTCTTTGACAGCTCGGATCATCTCTTGGACAGTCCAGTTATATACTTACAACCCTTTCAAGCGCAGTTGTTCATCACTATTGAGTCTTCCGAGAACACAAGCGGCGGTAGCAATAGTCGCAAAGCGCAAGGCAGTTTCGGAATTATAAAGATCTCCCAGGAGGTTCGTCCAGCCCACTGAAGCCAGGTCTGTTGACTGGGGTGAAAATCGGAGGCCTTCAGGTATCATGATGTTCCAGAAAAGCCCAAAATACAGCTGCTCCCTTGCTGATCTTGCGAAAGTGTCTGGTAGAGTAACATGAGAGCCAGCTCTTGTACTTCTGCTATAGGTAACACTCCAAGGCCGAATGTGTGAAACTGCTCTTGGCTGAGAGGATCATCGGGCTCCTGGTTAGATACAGTGTTGGTATCCGAATTCAGCCATATCATGCCAGTTTCATATCCTTCGCAAGCCAGCTCCGCTCGGATGCAGCGCTGGCAAGCGGGCGTTCCTCTGTCACACTGCACCGATGCCAATTAGCAGGCCAGAAATCAGAGGATATGGGGACATCGTCGTATACTAACTCCCTTCTTCCTTCTGCGACAGGTAATGCAACCTCTAGCGCGTCCTGGAACTCCAACCATATTACACTGTCATCAGGCAAATTATCGCGCGAAGTAGTTCATGGGAGGGAGCGATTAGGCAATCCAAGGCATGTAAGACGTGGCGCGAGCGAGTATTACAACTTTATTATTAAAGATATCTGCGAGTAAATATAGGAATATAGAGGCAGCGAAGCAATGTATCCACGGATGATACTTGAGCAGCATAGGTGATGTCTCAGTCTGGGATGAGGCCGGGCTCATGATATCTCATCGCATAAGATTGATAGCTTGATCGAGCTACCCCACGTCGAGCTGTCCCGTCTTATTGCCTCACGCCCGAGTACTGTGTACGTTGATCAGCACCAGTAGTGCATGGACTTTAGGGTCTGAAACTTCCATAACATCTCCAGCCCTGTATTCGAGGTCGATTGTCCAGGAAAATCCAATTTCGTTATTGCAAGAGTTTCCAACAATGAAAGTGGTTAGGTACTTTCAGCCTCTTCATGGTTCATCTCAAAACAATGGATATCAGGGGAACCTGGTGGCAAGTGCTAACCGCAGCGCCAGCAGCCACAGTGGCGTCACGTGTGGGCCTTGTCGCTAGCGATAGGGAAGCACAGACGCGGTTTTTGGGCAGGGAGGTACTCAGACACCGATCCATGTGGCGCATCTCGTCTAGCCTGCAATCTGGCATCATACCTAGCTGGCCTTGAATCCTGCTCCCAGCTCCACGATTGCTTCTTTCTCCAGATTCTGGGAGCTGCACAACTTTCAGCCATCAATGCTGCATCAGGGCTTTTGACTGGGTTTCTGTTTTCTTATTTCTTTTCCAATTCGCCTCTTGGCAGACTCGTCCGCCGTCTAGTTCATCTTCTTCTGGTTAATACGCAACCCCGCCGCCATGGTGCGCCTACGAGATATCCCACGGACGGCCACCTTTGCGTGGTCTCCCGGCTCCGGGAAGCCCATAGTCGTCACTGGAACAAAAGCTGGTGCGGTCGATGCCGATTTCTCTGACGAGAGCAAGCTCGAAATTTGGGATCTGTCTCTGGACAACCAAGAGCAGGGCATCGAACTCCAGCCCGTGATCAGCATCACCACAGACTCACGGTAAGATTTTGGCGGTCGCCTCTTTGGCTTTGGCTAGGCAACTAAAGTTGTTAGATTTTACGATATTGCTTGGGGACCTGCCGACGCCGACCATCCCAAGGGTATCATTGCGGGTGCTCTTGAGAATGGCACTCTCGAACTTTGGGACGCCGAGAAACTCGAGACTGGGGCCTCCGATGCGTCCATCTCCAAGACGACGAAACATACTGGTGCCATCAAGGCACTCCAGTTCAACCCTCTGAAACCCCAAATCTTGGCTACCGCGGGCGCCAAGGGCGAGCTCTTTATCTACGACATTGGCGACATCGAAAACCCCTTCCGTCTAGGAAACGCAGCAGCTCGATCTGACGACATCGATTGTTTGGCCTGGAACCGCAAAGTCTCTCATATCCTCGCTACTGGTGGCCCAGGTGGCTTTGTCACAGTGTGGGATTTGAAGACGAAAAAGGCATCCTTGACCTTGAATAACAACCGTAAAGCCGTGAGCGCAATTGCCTGGGATCCCAACAATT